ATAAACCTGGCGATGGTGATGATGATAAACTTGGAGATGATGATAATAAACCTGGAGATGATGATAATAAACCTGGGGATGATGATAAACCTAGAGATGATGATGATAAACTTGGAGATAATAATGATAAACCTGGAGATGATGATAAAAATACTGAAAAATCGAATGCTGATGAGGAAAATTCTGATAAGAAAAATGTAGAAAAAAATTCTGAAAAAGAAAATATTGTTAAGGAAAAAATTAAACAACTTGAGGAATATATTAAAGAAATAGAGAAAAAAAATATTAAGAAAACTTATTTTTTCCCACCATCAACATATACTAGCATGATATCTTATGATTCTGTTTTTATGCAAGCAGATTCTAAAAAGAAAGTTTTCTATGATGAATTAATAGAAAAACATATTAATAATAAATTTTTTTTATTTCTCTATGGAAAAAAACTTATAGAAGTTATTATTAATAAAGATCAAGACATGCTGCTACGAAAGTTTTGTAATGGATGTATTAATCATATTGAGAAGAATGATGATGTTCCAGACATGCAATTATTTAATATAGTTTCTCATTCAATTATTGAAATCTTTAAAAAGGATCCAGCATTTTTTGCAGAATTTATTATAAAAATCTCACTTTTATGCATTCTTAATTCAAAAAATCAATTTTTTTTAGAACACCTTCATCATTATTCAAGTTATAATAATTTATCTGAATTAACATATTTGGATTTTTTAACAAATACTATTTATAACACTTTCTTATACAAAAATATTATTGAAATTTTTTCATATATAAAAAAAAAGAGCTATTCTTTATTCAAAAAATTTATTTCTCAATTTAAATTACTTAAAGAAAAGATTATTGAAAAAATTACTGGAAAAACGATTCTTAAAAAAAAGACTTCTAAAAAAAAATTTTCTAAAAAAATAATACCACAACAATTAACTTTAATATTTCCTTTGCCAAATTTTGTCATGTATGATAAAGATTATAATAATTGGATTGAATTATTTAAACCTAAACCTAGTTGTTTTATAGATATTGATGATTTTTCTTTTTACAA